TGATGGTGAGGCCACTGCCCTATGCCTGCCATGCTGGCATTTGTCACTGGATTTTATTGCCCCATCTCCTGGTTGAACGACACACAGGGTAACAGCAAAGAACTATGGAACTTTGAAAGAAGAAAAAAGCCAGATACTCACACAGTGAAGGAATCAGGGGGAGCTGAGACTCTCCTCAGGTCAGCAGACTGCACTTTATGGATACTATAGGCAGCAGGAAATGAGTGGCCAGGAGAAAGGCAGCACAAGGTGTGGACAGACAAGGAAAAAGGCAGGGGGGAGGGAGAGAGAAAGAGTGGAAGAGAAAAAAGAAGGAGAAAGACATACAACATTTAAACAGAAACAAAAGGAATGTGTCACATAAAAGTTGAATGAAGAGACATGCAGAGCTCCAAGTTCACACTAGGAAGCAACAGAAGACATGCAAATGGAAAAAATCACTGCTGCATGGCACACAGGAGCCTTCTAAAGACATGAGTGAGGAGGACCAATGACAAGCTAGGCACACGGCTATACAACGAAGACGAGGAGCCCCAGGATTTGTTCCACAGGCACTGAAAAATTTCAAGGCAGCAGACTTTGGAAGCAGGTCCAGAAATGCAAACAAACAAAGCCAAGATCTGAATGGATGGAATTGTCTCCAAAGGCTGGCCAACTTCAGTTAATGTTTAAGAAAAAAAAAAAAATACCCTTACTGAAGATTTTGTATCCACAATGACAAATTGCTGTCTCCATTCTTCTTTCATGTACCTTAGGGAAACATGCATTTTATGTACAGTGACTCCCAAGACTGACTGTCTTTTAGTGTTTATACTCAGATGGTCCCTTTGTTTCTCTAAATTGTATGGAATATCTTTTATCTATAAGTTCTTCCCTCTTCTTTCTCTTCCATCATGCAGGACATTCTTCCTCAACCCAAACTAAAACCCAGTGAAAGCAAAATACCATCTTTTGAGGTTCCGAAAGCGATAATTAACTGAAACTTAATGAGCAGCATACTAAACTGTAGTTTCTAATCAGAAAATGACTCCTGGAAAAATGAACCACAGCTTCTCTTCTTGTTCCAGAAATATTTTGCTTATAGCTCACAAGAACCAATTCTTGGCTTGATCACAGAAAACCAAGCTATATGTTGTTTCTTACATGTTACCATGATCAACAGTGGAAAATAGGCATGATCAATAGAAAATAGGAATAGGTCTTTTAAGGGATGGAGAATAAGAACATAATTCACTCTTTTGTAGAAAAACTGAGTCTGCTGATTTGGCTGTAGTAAAAATTTGCTTTTGCTGGTACAAACAGCAAAGGCATACAAGAAGAAAAGAAATCCAACTTTTTTTCCCCTACAACCCCACTATCTACCTTGTTTCAATCCATAACCAAGTGTGAACAGCATGATCTTATGTATTCCTTGCACCTAAGAAGTTGCTTCTGGCTTGAAACATTTCATTGGTTTGTTACTTATCTCCATTGTAAAGCAATACATTGTACAGTGAGGAAGAGATTATGTATGTCTGCCTTTTACATTTGTACAGCCTCCATTAGAAAACAAATTAACTGTAACTGTATATACCAAGTAACGACTTTCCTCCACTATGCTTCAACTCAAAATTTTAAAGTTATCAGAAGAGTATAAACCATAAACAGGTCATCCTCACCTACGCAAGAGTACTCATGTAATCTGTATGTCACATCAAAACAGCTTAACTTTCCAAAAGGAAATATTAAAAAAATTAATGCCTGATCAACAGTAAGAAGAAATATCACTAGTTGCAGCAAGTAGTCCATGAATAGTTCAGGGCAATTAATATACTGAGAAATTTGTAGGCAATTGGGCAGTGAAAGATGAAATATCTGCATAAAATATTAATTGCCAGTAATTCACCCAGTTATGACAAAATGCAGCACATTATATTTACTTGTTCCCTAATAGCTTGGATGAATCTTTTCACGTGGCTGCTATCAACAAGGAAGGGAGGCTCATTCAGTGTAAGTAGCCCCACAGAAACACTAGATTTTTATTCCTTGATTTGATTCCATGACCAACCTTTTTTTTTTTTTTTTTAAAGACTAGAAAAGACTAGGACTTTCACACTATCAAAAGTGCTGCTGAATTTTTCCCTCCACCTTGAAAAAGGCAAATTATTCAGTAACAAATAAAACAAGGACTCTCGACATACAGGAGTTTCAACCTTGAAGGTCTTCATAGAACCACAGGAGGCAGTTTCTGTGCAATTAGCAGGTGCTGGAAGAACAATAGTGGGAAAATGGAGGGAAAAACAGGTCAAACAAGGTCAGATTCCTTTCTCTTGTATACAAGTGTCCTCTCAGAGCATCTACAGGTTTTGAAGGAGAACAGTTGCAACCAGGAAGGTGGGCAACCCTTACAGTCAGAAGAGAATCGTGTTTCTAAAGCCCTCCCACTCCCAAGTTGAGAGAACCATGAAATCTCTGCTCTTCTCACTCACCTACATTACAGAGGAGCTCTTCAATTTTAAAATACTATTATCCCCTGGAAACACAAGTGCATCCACAAGGCAAACAACAAACTCTATAGCCTCTCTAAACCTCTTCTCCTTAAAGCCTCCGGAAAAAAGAACAGAGTAAGAAAACAGAAACACAGTGTAAGACTTCTTTGAATTAAGTCTTTTTCTACTTATACTACTGCTATTTCTACTAGCTAAAAGTCCAAAGAGCATTCCTACAGCTCTCCTTATCTAGCAATAATATCAAAGCTGACAATAATAGCAACTTTGTGTTACTGTGATGCAAGATAATTTCTTAATCACTTTCCTGGGAAGGATCTCAAGAACATCCATCTAACCATTAGTGGGATAGCTCCAGACCCACTCACTTATCTCACAAATCTAACATTCAGATGACAGTCATGAGAGAACAATCTATCGCGTTCAATCAAATATAAGGCTTTCGGGGATATTTCAATGGAATAGGGAGATACATTCCAGATATCAAGTTGAGAAATGTAGATAAACATACTTAATTGAAAATTTTGTCTCTTGTGAAACACTGCAAATCAACATCATATTGAATGAACGTCTTACAATACTAAATGCTTCCCAGAGTTTAACCTTTAACGTGCCATTTACTTTTTATCACATCACCAGGAGATTCAACTCCTCTCTCTCATACCCCTTCAACACTTGAGAACAAAGTACATATGCACACGGATATATAGGTATAGACATAAATATAAATATATACGCACACCTTTTCTGATATGTGAGGCTGAGACTAGAGTCCCTGACAGATCATTTGTGTTTTCCCAAGGCATACGTCTGCAGGCAAATATCTCAGCCAAATCGAAGGACTAACAGCAATGTAGTCTACCATAGCACACTGAAATCAAGCTAAACCACAAACAAGATCCTCTTGACAACTGGCATATATTTTGAATCTGTATTTCCCTATCTCAGTTTAAATTCAGATCTCAGAAGCCAAGCCTAACCATGCTAATTATTAGATTGAAATTCCAGGAATTTTCACTTTGCGTTTGCATCAGCCTCCCTCAGTGAAGAAAAAGATGCCCCAGGAATGCTTTTCCGCTCGATTCTAGCTTTTGCAAACAACTGAGTTGTGGTTGGATGAAATCGAGCATCGCTGCCCACAGGCAAGAGTCTGCTATTCTTCACTGCTCGAGAGAGATGAGTATACCTTATGTATTTTCCAGGCAAATAGGAATTGCACATTACAGATATGGGCTTCTACTGAAGCTTAAAGCATTAGTCTCAGAAAGAGAACACAGAGTGCTAAATTGAACAGAAAGACGTTGAAAGTAACCAGCAAGGCTTTGATTACATGGACAGATTGACAACCAGGGGATGACAAGAAGCTCTAAAGGGCTGGAGTCAAAGTTTGAAGTGAAGCAACATCTTCCACTAGATGATACAGTTGAAAGACACAGGCAATCTTTAAGATACCTGAAGAGAAAATATGTGCCTGAGACCTTGTCTGTTTTTTCCAGTTGTATGAGTTAGTCTAATGAAAGATATTACATCTCTTCATAAACCTTGCCTCAGCAAAATCCCCCACCCACCTCTCCAGGAAAATGAAATCCTCAGTGCATGGATGTTTAAATGAAATGTAGAACCTTGAAAACTTTAGGCCTTTAGCTGGGTATCGTTGTAGAAGGGACAGACTGTTTTGATTTACTTTAAGAATACTTGAGGAAAAACAGCAAAGGCACTTATTATATGTCACTCATTTCAGCAGCAATGAAGGCCTTCTATATGAGAAGTACAGTAATCAGCTCTACACAATAATCTACATTATGGGACAGGCATTTTCACAGGTCAAAATTTGAATTTTTTTGGGGGGTGTTAAAATATCTCTGCAGTGCTTACAAATAAGGTTGAATTATGAAAAGGAATGTTAGTCCTGCCTTTTCTTCTTCACATGTTCCTGGTTTCCAATTATCTTAGCTTTTTGCTATTCATTTTTAGACTACTCATTTCTTATTTGGGTTTTTATACTGGAGCAGGATTCCCTACAAAGTGCAAGCAGCCCTTCCTGGACCTCCAAGTTCTTCTCCATAAACAGTCCCAGGCAGCATGCTCCCAACAATGTCCTGAGTAATTCTTGGCAATTTGTTACAGGATCTCCAACGGAGCTTAAAAAGCAGATCAATAAAGTTGAGAAAATGAATCAAAAGAACTTAAAAGGCAAATAGCATACACACACAGAACTGTCAGAAGCCAAGAGGCACACTGCTGAGCCTGCACAAACCTCTCTAAATAACTGAAAGTTACAACACCTTTCTAAAAGCAAGATAGAGGGTAACTCAGAAGATAAAAGAATAAAAGAAAATCAGGTAAGTATTTACAATCCAGTGGAAAGGGAGTTCAGGTGTGAATTTTTTTATTTTGTTTTGGTTTTGGTTTTTTTGCAAATGCGCTGCAAGTCCAGTACATGCAAAATCCGTGACTGAATATGCTGCCCCAAATGGGCCTCCTGCTATTAGGACATGCACATATCCAACTCACTCATTCAGCAAAGGCATGGATGTTCTCCTCTTGCTCTTCTGCACCATGTTGGCTTGGTTCCTTAAGGAGATTCGAATGAGTGAGGGAGCCAATCGACATGGTTCGCCATCCACTTGCATGGGAATAGACTTGTATGTTAAAAGTGTCACCTCACGGCACTGGTGCAACCTCTCTCCATGACCACCCACCTGGAGAGCCGCCTGAAAAAAAGAAACAAACAAACAACAAAAAAAACCCACAAGCAAAACCAAAAACCAAAACAAATAGAAAGACGAAGAAAAGACATCTCAGAACAGATAGTTGAGGCAGTTAAATCCAAAATGCAGCTTTGCTGACAGCATCCATTACACAGTGTTCCATGTGTAAGGCATTCTTATGAGTCACAATGTATTTTCACTCCAAAATTGCAAAGCAGGACTTGAAATTTCAAACCGAAAAGTAGTGGGCAACAAGCAGATACCTAACCATGCACATTGCACATCTCATGACCTTGGTATATGTCAAGCGTATTACACACACATACAAATATGTATACACACACCTGCGTGCACAAATGAATACCTGTGTTTATTCCTAAAGTTTTCAATTTTCTTTGGTTGGTTTGTTTTTACACTAACAGTAATGCTACTAATTCTTTGCTCTTTAAAACAACAACCCTAATTAGGTACATCTGCGAGACAGAAAAAATATTTCCCCTTCCTGAAGAGAATACAGTCCTTAGTGTGAATTAGATAAATCTAAGATCCTTATTATACAAGTTTACACAGCAACTCAACCTTGGGACTAGACAGGCTGAAAAGAGCAAGCAGAAGGACCTTGTCAAAAACAATTAAATATTATGTTCAAGAATTCATTTCAAAGAAATGAAACAAGGAGCGTAATGAGCAGATCCTTCAAGTTCTAAGCAGGTATGTTTGGGCAGAAATGCATTTTTTTAAATTGTAGTGTGACTATTAATTTTCGTCTATCAGACATAGAAAAAAAATCCTATATTAATGCACTACTAACAGAACACAGCCTAAACACAAGTCAAGACCTTAATCCTCCTGTGTGCACTTAATATTATGGATCAACTGATAATATGGTCAATAATATTCATAATAACACTTTTTATAAAGTACTTCCCCCTCCTTGGCCTCACAGACCTTCTTGGGTATGACCAAGCACATCTGGGAGACACACAAAGCAAGTTGGAATTATATCAACGCAGTCTGGGGCTACAACGGTTCCTCAGCATCACAACCAACATACTCCTGTAGACCCTCAGTTCTGAACTAGGCTTCCTTTAGAAAGAAACAGCAGCTCAAAGGGCCCTACTACTTAAATTCAGTCCCCACTGGCACTGGTGGTAGTTTTGAGATCACTCTAGCTACTGTGAGTGGCTAGAGACACATCAGTGGCAATCCCAAAAAAGATTCCAGCTGAAAACTGCCAGATGGTAACATGCTAAATAGACTTTTGACACCATTTTCAGAAGCTTACCCTAAAAATCTTCAGGGGTGAAGTAATAAATGCTCATTCCACAAGATCTACCAGGCTAACAAACAGAATCCTGCTTACTTGTAGGTTATTTCCTAGTCCACTAGATCCATCAAAAAAAACCAAAAAAAAAAAGAAGAGACCAAAACAGAATCCTTAACCCAGACTTCTAAAGAAATGATTGCTGATCAAGGTGACCTTTTACTGTTGTTTACTTTGAAGATTAGATTTGTCTGAAAATTTCTCTTTCAGGAAGCAAACACCATTATCATGGGTATTCACTGAATGTAATACGCACTGAGGGCCAGTCACATAACAAGTAAACATGTGAGTTTAGTGAAAACAGGCTTATCCATGTTAGCTTTAACCTAGTCCACAGAAGACATAGCAGCAACAAAGGCCTAAGAGTACGGACTTAAGCATGACCTAAACAAGCCTGCCGTAAGCCCTGATACATGCCTTCTGTTGGCCACGCTAAGTTCAAGCTGCAGTGTCTTAGGTAGATGAACACTAGCAGCAGTGACAACTACCAACCCTGACTGCATTTAATCAGACTCTGAAGAGACTGCCACTGTGTTTAACCACTGTGATAGTAGGACACCAGGGTATTTAAAGTGGGATTGCTTTTACAGTAACTCAGCTTTAACTCACTTTAAGGACAGCCTCGACAGAAAGTGCACTGCCAAATTAAAATTGTTGGTTGAATTTTCTTTC